CCAATCTCTTACCTCATGTACTTTTCTGACCCCTCTACCCCTTCTACCTAGAGTCCTCCGACTCAGCCAATGCCCCAATCCTTGTCACCATGACTCTGAAAGTGCTTTGCTAATACACCAAGATGGTCAAGGAAAAATGGTGCTGGGTTAGGGGACAGGGAAGATGGTGAGCTTTCATACTGTATGATCTAACAAGCCACACATGTATACTAAATGAGGGTCTCTCAGCATAGCAGTGTCTGCACCTGACTCACACTATCAGGCAGTTAAAAGTTGGGGAAGGAGCTCATATGAAGTGTTTCCTTTTTTCTTTTTCTTTTTATTTGTTTTATTTTTTATTTTTTTCCCCCTGTGATAGACAGACTCAGAGTCTGTGAGGCCAGAAGCTGATATCCTGCATTTCTATTTAGAATGAATTTATTTATTCATTCATTTATTTAGAGATGGAGTCTTGCTCTGTCACCCAGGCTGGAGTGCAATGGCACGATCTCGGCTCACTGCAACCTCCGCCTCCCAGGTTCAAGCTATTCTTCTTGCCTCAGCCTGCTCAGTAGCTGGGACTACAGGCATGTGCCACCACACTCCGCTAATTTTCGTATTTTTAGTAGAGACAGGGTTTCACCGTGTTAGCCAGGATGGTCTCAATCTCCTGACCTTGTGACCCACCCATCTCGGCCTCCCTAAGTGCTGGGATTACAGGCGTGAGCCACCACACCCAGTATGAAGAGTTTTCATTTCATTTCTGATGATAGCTATTTTTAGGAACACAAGCTACATAAATATTTTAACAGTTTTCCCATCCTTCTCTTCTTGCTGCTGTGATACAGGAACAAAATCAAAATGGAGTGAGCTTGCTGTTTAGGGAAAGATGAAAACTGCATATGTAAAAGTAAACAGACTGAGATTTATGAGTTGATCACTTAAAAGCTTAGGAAAGAATCTCAAGGGCACATAGGAAAGCAGACAAAGGGCTTGATAGACATATTTGTGACAACACGAAAAGGTGAGGTCGGGGAAGAATGGACCAGGTCATCGCAAATTGAAACAACTTGTAAAAGATACATTATAATAACACCAGAAATTAACTAAAAGTTCCTGTAAAATCACAGATGAGAATTGCTAAAAATAAAAGATGGAGTAGTAAGAATAACTAAGAATAAAAAATTGATGAGTTATTAATGGAAACTTAAAATTGAACGCCTGGGGAACTTTTTATAATGAATGGTAGTTGACGGAAAACTTCAGATAAACTTTATGTGAATCTTTGAAAAAGACTTCAAGCATTAGCATATACATAAAAGTAACATATTTCACCTAGGGGCTGTTAAAACAGTGTACAAAACAGGTTAAGCAAAATTGTGCTATAGAGAACTACTTATGTGCAATTCTTCACCTAAAATTTAGTAAATATATTTGAGTAGTTTCTAAAATACACGGTCTTCAAAGAAGGAACTGAGTAGGAAATAAAGCACTGCTGGTTTTTACTCATAGAGATTAAAATAAAATAAATTATTGTTCAATTCTATATGAAGTTTAAATTATCTTCGCATTTGTTTGTTTACTCAGTCACCCAGGCTGGAGTTTGATGGCACAATCACAGCTCACTGCAGCCTCGACCTCCCAGACTCAAGCAATCCTCCTGCCACAGCCTCCCAAGTTAGCTGGGACCACAGGCATGAACTACTATGCCCAGCTAATTCTTTTTATTTTTAGTAGAGATGGGATTTCACTATGTTGCCCCAGTCAGTTTGAAATTCCTGGGCTCAAGCGATCCATCCACCTTGGCCTCCCAAAGTGCTGAGCTTGAGCTTACAGGAATGAGCTACTGCATCCAGCCTATCTTACCTTTTAAAAAACATATCAAATAATTGTTTGTAAATTATTTTCTGTAGTAGACAGCAATTTTTGTTAAAATCGGCAAATAAGACTTTGCATCTACCCTTGAGAAAATTGTATTTTTGTAAAGTGATTTTTTTTTTTTTTGAAACAAAGTTTCGCTCTTATTACCCAGGCTGGAGTGCAATGGTGCAATCTCAGCTCACCGCAACCTCTGCCTCCTGGGTTCAGGCAATTCTCCTGCCTCAGTCTCCCAAGTAGCTGGGATTACAGACACGCACCACTATGCCCAGCTAATTTGATTTTTTTTTTTTTTTTTGAGACAGACTTTCCCTCTAGTTGCTTAGGCTGGAGTGCAATGGCACATTCTCGGCTCACTGAAACCTCTGCCTCCTGGGTTCAAGCGATTCTCCTGTCTCAGCCTCCCAAGTACCTGGGATTACAGGCATATGCCACCACGCCCAGCTAATTTCTTGTATTTTTAGTAGAGACTGGGTTTCACCATGTTGGCCAGGATGGTCTCAATCTCTTGACCTGGTGATCCACCTGCCTTGGCCTCCCAAAGTGCTGGGATTACAGGCATGAGCCACCGCACCTGGCCTGTAAAGTGATTTTTTTAGAAAATGAAGCCTATGAGTATGATGGCATTATAAAAGTATCAGTATAAATAAAAGAGAAAATAACAATATATGCATAAAAAATGATCAGCATATGGAAATACAAATGTCATATATGGATGTAAATTCTCCTAATGGTTCTTGTAAGCATCATGATTTTTTTCCATCAAATTTTATTTTAGGTTCCAGGGTTCATGTGCGGATGTGCAGGTTTGTTATGTAGGTAAACGTGTGCCATGGTGATTTGCTGCACGGATCAGGCCATCACCTAGGTATTAAGCCCAGCATTTATTAGCTGTTCTTCCTGATACTCTCCCTGCCCTCACCCCACCCGGCAGGCTGCAGAGTGTTGTTCCCCCACCATGTGTCCACATTCTCATCACTCAGCTCTGCTTATAAGTGAGAACAGAGCTAAAGACATACCCAAGACAAGAAAATAGAAAAAATAATAATAATAAGCGAGAACAGAGCATGATTTTCATCGTCCATCAAATGCTAGAAAACTACTCTGCATTCATTACTATGTTTGCTCCATGTTTCTAGCTCTTCTTACGTGAATTTAAACCTCCATCCACGGCTATTTCCTCAACATTTGGAAGCAACAGATACTTATTAGGAAAAAAGAAAGTCATTTATCCTGCAGGTTATAGATCTTACATTCCTGTACACAACATTGCTAACTCCCTCATATTATCTTGATCAATGAAATGATTTCACTTATTTTTCAAAGAAGTAGCTGTTTTCCTACAAAGCAGGCATTGTAAGGGACGGGGTGAGCACTGTTCTACTCCCTTGGTGAGTACGTAAAGGAAATCAAACCGTCTGGTTTTGAATCCTGCTGCTTCTTTTTACAGAAGAATTACTTGGACAAATTACTGATCTCTTTCACTAGATGTATTATTTGTAAAATGCAGATGGTGTTGTCTCCTCACAGATTACTGTGAGGCTTAAATAAGAAAACGTGCATCAAGCGCATTTGTCTGGCATGTAATAAGCACTCTAAAATTTATGCAGCGATGAGGACAATGATCACAGACCATCTAATAGCATCTTCTCTGAATAAAAAATGTACGTTTCCTTTGAGCAAGCACTGCTGATTCCAGGAACATGCTCACAGGAAGCAGTAAGTCAAATGTTTAAAGGTAGGCGCAGGACTATCAATGGTAGTAAAGTCTTTTTTACTGATCATCCAGTAAAAGATTAAAAATAACCTCCATGTTCATGCACAGAAGTTGATGAAATAAGTTATGGTACATGCATACAGTTGAAAACTTTGGAGACAAAATAGTAAAATAATTACAAATACAGGCTTTGAACATAATTTCAACAAACTGAGGCTTCTCTCATCTCTTCAGAGCACTCTGATGCTTCCCAGCCTCTCTTCCTTGCTTTTCATTTGCGTCAGTCAGCTATTGTTTGTGTAACGATCTTAAAATCTCAGTGGCATATAATGGTAAGCGTTTGGTTCTCACTCACAAGTTTGCAGGGCAGGCGAGGCAGCTGCACGTCAAGCTACAACGTCCAGGGCAGTTCTGCTTCGTACTGTGGCTGACTAGCTAAAACCAGATCCTGTCTCGGCAGTCGCAGGAGAACAAGAGGCTGAGAGATAATGTGTGAAGCTTCCTTCCTAAGTGCTAAGTTTGAAATTAGCACCGTGTCGTTTCCATTCATATTTCACTGGCCAATGAAAGTTGCGGGATGAGCCACAGGCAAGAGTGAGAGAGGTGCATTTGTGAGGCTGTGGAGAGAGTGTAGACTCAGGGAGAGGTGAGCAACTGGGGCCCGAATGTTAATCTACAGCAGGATTTGTCATCACTGTTCACTCTCTGCCAGTAAGGTTGCCACCCAAGTCTCTCTGCACTCCCACTTTCTGTTTAGCTCTCTCTTATTACCACAGTCTTTCTATCGGGTTACAAGCCTGTCTCAGAATCACCTCAGTCTACTGGCACAGACCTCCCCACTCGTCCTCTGAAACTCTCTTCTTGAGGATATTCCTATCCATGTATGTGAGTTATTTTTTTCCTCTATAGCATCCACATTAATCATTTAATTTCCTTGGATTTAACCAAAATAAACACTCCAAATTCATGACGTCTTTCAGGAAGAGAGTTTGTTTTCTTTTTTAACAAAAATGGGAGATTGATCCTGTCTGTGTTCCCCAGAGGAGCAGAGGGTGGTTTGGTTTGTATTAGGGCAATTCTCATAGATGAGTAACTTTTCCCATGGCCTCATAGAGGCTGATATAGAAACTTCTGGATTCAAATGATCATTTGGTGGCATTACCCAGGCATTGAACCAATTTTTAAAGGTGAGGTTTTGCCATATTCTAACCCTAAGAAACAGAAATGGCAGAAGGAAAAGATAATCAGATAGAATGTCAATAAAGCTTCAGCCTTTTCCCTGAATTCTGAAAGTTCATAACCTAAAAGTCAGAGCTTCAAACTGGGAGAGATGAGCTAAGAGGTACGAGAATTGGGGAAAGCATGTTTCGTGAATTCAAGACGTATTTCTCAAAAAAGGAACATGATGAAAATGTTCAGAAGAGGCAATTTCCTTCCTCTTTTCTGCTTTGGCTCCGGAGCCCCAGCAAAACCTCTTCAATATCTTGCATGTTACAGATTTCACTGCTCCCACCAGCTTGAAGATAACATGTGGTTCTTGACAGTTCTGCTCCTTTGGGGTAAGTTGGGCTCTGAGCGAATGGTTAGAAGGGTACAGGCTGTGGCTGTGGGAAGTCAAGAGTTTTGTCTTGCTTTGGTAACTTTGGGTAGAACTCGTGAGTATGGAGACAACTGTATCTGTGTCTCCATGGTTTATTAGAGCTTATTTTATCAAAAGGATGGGAAGGGAGGCCCTGAGGTAGCCTTAAGGCTGGAAGCACCACAGTAACGTTTCATTGGTAACCATCTGAAGCTTGTTCAGTTCTGTTAGTACTTAATTTTGAGAAAGGGAGATAGAAACTCAGAAGACCTAAGCTGATCCCTGAGTCTACATTAATTCTGTCTCCTAGATTCCCTCTTCCTCATCATTTTCCCTGGACCAACTGGTATCTTTATTCTCTGATCTCTTGCAGTTCCAGTTGATGGGCAAGTGGGTGAGTGATCTCCGACTCTGCTTCATGCCACTTTCCTACTTCCAAAGGACATGTCCTATTAACCTGAAGAAGAGCATATAGGGAAAGCAGAAAAAGGAGAAAGATTTACAAATCATGTAAAATCGCCCATATTCAGGGTATGATATTCATAAGAACCGTGATTTTTAAGCTCTCTTTCAAAAGTTTTCTGAATGAGCTCTTTCCTCTAAATAAAATGCCTAAATGTATATATAATAGCAGGAAAGGGACAGAATTGCACAAACACTGCAGTAGTCTGCTGGGTTTCCCAACGGGATGTTGGGAAACCAGTCTCCTTTACAAGAAAGATGAGTGGGTTTTTTTCTCCTCAGAAAGAGCCAGGCAGGTACTGAACGTTTCAAAGAGAGGAGTTTCAACCTCCGTTTCCCGTGCAGAAGCTGCTGGCCTGCGCTGTAACTCAGAGGATAAGGAAAACAGCTTGTCCAAGTCTAAAACCCTGCTTCATTGCTCCCAACAGAAAAACCTATCAGTAATTTAATCCTCAGGAGTCCCAAATTCCCAACACCCAGATGAGGATTTAATAACACGAGCAGAAGTCTCTGCAGCAGGAGTTGAACACTCGTAAAGGCTGGCTTTTGTAGGTTTCCACTCGCCTGTTTTTCAAATAAATCTAGATATGTATTTTCCCTTGTGCTATCCACAAAAAGCCTTACCGGTTGCCCAGCACCCTCCCTTTTACTCCACTTGATCTTTTTCTTCTTTTAATCTCCAAGTAGGCCCCACAAAGGCAGTGATCACTTTGCAGCCTCCATGGGTCAGAGTGTTCCAAGAGGAAACCGTAACATTACAGTGCATGGGGCCCCATGTGCCTGGGAACAGCGCCACACAGTGGTTTCTCAACGGTACAGCCACTCAGACCTCGATCCCCAGCTACAGCATCATCTCTGCCGGTGTCAACGACAGTGGTGAATACAGGTGCCAGACAGGTCTCTCAGTGCTAAGTGACCCCGTACAGCTGGAAGTCCACAGAGGTAAGTATGACTGGGACCAGGAGGGCTGGAGACCACAGGTCTTCCTCTGTATTCTCTCCTTTCTGGACGCCAGATGTATGTGTGTTGATTTATCTTAGCGCAGGCCTCAGCTCTCTGTACCTACCAGGTGAAATTAAATCAGTATACTCAAACATCACAGCAGGGTCCTTGAACTGTTTACCGACAGTAATTCAGCTGGGCCAGCTCTAAGTAGGATGTCTAGAGTAAGACTGAGGCCCTGAGGTTGTATCATTGCTCCAAATGTAAGCTTGCACATAGTAAATAATAATAATTCAAAGAAATGGGCAATGAGGAACAATGAATGATCTGCCTCCCACCCCAAAACCCTAGGTCTGCAGTCACCTTCCACAGAAAAACAACTGCTACTGTGTGTGTGTAGTTTTAAAACTGTGGTTGGTAGAATACTTTCTATGTATTGTCCTACATCTTACTTTTATCACGTAAAATATCTCAGAGGCCTATTTATATTAATAGAAATCTACTTTAAAATGTCTGCTGCGCAGCTGTACCAGAAGTAATCTAACCATTCTGCCTATTAGCAAATTTATAAGACTTTTCCATTCTTTTTATTTTACAAGCACTGCTGCAGTAAACATCTTTATACACACCCTCTGGGGGCACATTTCATAATATATCTCTAAGATAATATTCGGAACATGGAATTATTGTCATATTTTAATAAATAGAAGCAGAAAAACCCTCCACCCACTTAAACCTGTAAGGAGTTTCTGTTTGTTGAGAGATGGAGACCACAATATTCTCAGGAAAAAAAATGCTTCATTCAATATGCAAGAAAAATAACCAAATGTACTATTTAGTTATTCAGAAGTCATGAGTTGAAACTTCTCTGAAAGTGAGAATGCAAAAGTTAGTCCACACTGGAGGCAAAATTACCTTCATGCAGACATGGTTGCTATTAGAGGAAATGAGTTGAAACTGTTTGAATGTCTGAGGCGAGACTTGATGTTCTTCACGTGTCCCTTAGGTCTCTGTGAATAAATTCTTAGGATGGATAGGTGAGGGAAGCTGACAGAGCTGTTTGTTCTTTCCTTTTCTTTTTTGAGTCAGAGTCTCACTCCATCGCCCAGGCTGGAATGCAGTGGCACGATCTTGGCTCACTGCAACCTCTGACAGAGCCGTTTCAACAAGACACTTTGTGTAGTTCAAGCCGAAGTGTTTCACGGTTCAAGTGACAACAAAAGGACTAGGGCTGGGAAGAGGCCATTTTCTTTGCCTCTACACGAACTCTAGGACAGCCAGCATCAGTGACTTATTGAGAATCATATCTTTTTCACATTACGTTTTAATGTGAATCTTCATTGAAATATAACCTATGTACGACTAGCCGTAAGTGTACGCCTCAGTAAATTTTTGCAAAGTAAACAGCATCCAGATCAAGAAATAGAACATTTCTGGCGCCCCAGAAGCTCCTTCCTGCCCATGTCGAGTCCACGCCCGACACTGACCTCCAGCACCGTAGGTTTTCAGCCTGTTTTGAACTTCATATAAAAGGCTACAGTGCGGGACAGGACGGGCTCTTCTGTGTCTGGTTTCTTTTTCTCAACAGGATGATTGTGAACTGTGTAAACTGAAGTTATTTGTTCTTATTTATGTATATTTCATATTTTCCCGTTCTACTGAGGGACTTTTGGATCATTTCTGGTTTTGATCTCTTATGACTGTGGACCTTTTTTTTTTTACATTTTTCAACTATTTCCTACCATTACTAGTATTTGACAGTTTCTGATGGAGGTATGTTACAATTCCCCACTCCTTTGGATATATAAATGCAAGTTAAGCATTTCCCTAATGACTATGATATTGACCATTCACATGTTGGGTATCCTCTTTTGTGAGGTCTTTTTGACAATTTTTCCATTGTCTTTTTCTTATTGACTTATAAGAGTTATTTATATATTCCGGATATCTGCATGTAAGTCCTTTTTCAAGGGTCTTAAATATATGCTCCATTCTGTGGCTTGTCTTTTCACTATCATATTAGAGTTCTGTTTTCTTTTTTTTTTTATTGCATTTTAGGTTTGGGGGTACATGTGCAGAACGTGCAAGATAGTTGCATAGGTACACATGTGGCAGTGTGTTTTGCTGCCTTCCTCCCCTTCACCCACATCTGGCATTTCTCCCCAGGGTATCCCTCCCCAGCTCCCCCCCCCCGCTGTCCCTCCCCTATCCCGCCCAATAGACCCCAGTGTGTAGTCCTCCCCTCCCTGTGTCCATGTGTTCTCATTGTTCATCACCTGCCTGAACAAGACTTAATTTGACTATAGTACAATACACCAAAATTTGGGGTCGGTGCTGTCAGGCCCTATTTTAAAATATGTTGCCACAGTCCGCAGTGGGAGATTCAGTTGCAGCTCACTGACCCGTAGGCATTTCGATTTAATCTGTGTATGCTAAGACCAAAAAAATGCAGCTGGTTGGTGGGCCTGAATCCTAATCAGATGGCTGAAAACGAGTGTCCCCGATCTCCAAGGGCGTGAAGATGGGCGAACGTTGTTGAGCAGGAAATTAGTCATGTCTGCTGAAAGCTGCATCTCATGAGTTTTGATTTGTAATACTCCCGTTACCACTTAAGGGTAAAAGTTTTTAAATTTCCCGGTGGCTCAAGCCTGTAATCCCAGCACTTTGGGAGGCCGAGGTGGGTGGATCACGAGGTCAAGAGATCAAGACCATCCTGGTCAACATGGTGAAACCCCGTCTCTACTAAAAATACAAAAAAACTAGCTGGGCATGGTGGTGCGTGCCTGTAGTCCCAGCTACTCAGGAGGCTGAGGCAGGAGAATTGCCTGAACCCAGGAGGTGGAGGTTGCGGTGAGCCGAGATCGCGCCATTGCACTCCAGCCTGGGTAACAAGAGCAAAACTCCGTCTCAAAAAAAAAAGAAAAAAAGTTTTAAAATTTCCATTAGACATTTTTTATTCATGAATTATTCAGAAGATTTTTGGGGGGCAGTTCTTTGTTATTGATTTCTAATGTCATGGCCCTTTGGCTACAGTTTGTGTTAAATATAGTATCGGTTCATTAGTACTTGTTGAAAAACGCTTTGTGGCCTAGTTCACACTTAATTTTTCTTACATTGCATGTGTTTAGAAAGCATATGAATTTTCTTTCTAAAGTATAGCATCCACAAAATCAAGTCTATTAATTGTGTCATTCAAATATTTTCTACAGTTACTAGTGTTTGACGGTTTCCGATGGAGGTGGTTACACTGTCCCACTCCTTTGGATACGTAAAGACGTCAGTGTTCAGGCCCTGCAACCGTCCAGCACCTTCTGGCTGTGGGTGGGAATAAGGGAGGGAAGAGAATTAATTATATTTGGAAGCATTATGTCAGTATCCATGACTGTAAAATTCATGCTACATACAGCATAGAAACACCTGCCTTCCATTCTTAGATAAGTTCTGGAGAGGGAAAAGCATTATTTTCTCTTCTCCTCCTTGGTCTCCTAAGAACCCCATTTTTATGTAGCCAAACCAACTCCCTCTGGAGAAGTAGGTGAAGCGTTTTTGGTTATGCATAGAGGTGTATGTCAAAAGGAAGAACCCATTGACTTGGAGCTTGGTTTGCAAATGATGTCATTAATATGTGAGTAGTCCTATCAATGTAGTAGGATGTTTATATCTGATGTTTGCCCTTCCGTGTGTTTGTCTTAGGATGACTGGTCCTATTAACAAATTTGGCAGGAGGTGAAGTGTATTTGTTTTCTATTGCCATGAAACAATTTTAGCAGCTTACAACAACATACATGTATGATCTTCCGGCTTCCATGGGTCAGGACTGCCATGACAGCTTGGCTGAGTGCCCTGCTGAGGCTCTTCCAAGGCTGCAGTCAGGGTGTTGACTTTGCTGTGTTTCTTTTGAAGCTCTTCCAGGCTCAAAGGTCACTGGCAGAATTCAGTTCTTTGTGGTTATAGTACTGAGGTTCCTGCTCTCTTGCTGCCTGTCAATGTGGGGCCACTCTCAGGTCCTAGAGGCCCTTCCCTTGTGGCCCTCTCCTAGCATGGCAGCTTACCTCTTCAAGGTCAGGAGGAGACTTTCTTCATCCAGTCTGCTAAGATAGAGTCTTACACAATGTAGCAATCCCGAGAGTAACATCCCAACATCTTTGTCATATTCTGTTGCCTAGAAGCAAGTCACAGGTTTTACCCACATTCAATGGGATTACACAAGGGAGTGAGTCATTTCGATCGTTTTAGAATTCTGTCTACCATGCTGTACAAACTGTTTTTGTTTCAACCAACCTCTGAGATCTGGAAAGGGAAGATAAGAAAGGGCTGCATGCACAGTTGCCAGTAAAGATTGCTTTTATTTCCACCAAAGCTAAAGATATTTGAGGAACTGGATATAGGCCTGAGATTTAGCAGAGCTCTGAGGTTGGATGTTTCAAGGAGAAAAGACAGAAAGCCCCGCAGCCAAACTCGGGCTTCCTTGTACCTCCTCCACAGTTTGCAGACATTGTGAATTCACATTTTTCAGACTGGCTACTACTCCAGGTCTCCAGCAGAGTCTTCATGGAAGGAGAGCCTCTGACATTGAGGTGTCATGCATGGAAGGATAAGCTGGTGTACAATGTGTTTTACTATCAAAATGGCAAAGCCTTCAGGTCTTTCCACTGGAACTCTGATCTCACCATTCTGAACACCAACATAAGTCACAACGGAATCTACCATTGCTCAGGCAAGGGAAGGCATCGCTACACATCAGCAGGAGTGTCTGTCACTGTGAAAGGTATTGTATCAGAATAGCCATAGAACTGATAGTCCCTCCCTCTGAGGGACCATCACAAATAATCTAAACTCCTCACTTTCATTTACAAGCGAAGAAACTGAGCTCCAGAGAAGTCAACTGCCTAACTAAAGGCCTCACCATGACCAGTGGCTGGGATGGAACCAAAACTGAGGTCTCTGCGTCCCAGTCCATCACTCTTTCCAGTGTCCTGCAGCCCCCATCAGTATCCCAGGAGCTAATGTCAAAGTCAGGGCACAATGGAGATTAATTTCATTCATCTTATTTCGGTTGTAAGGAATAGAGAGACTCACTGTAGGTAGCTAGGAGAGTTATAAGAAAATAATGCCATGGAATCTCATGAAAGCTTCATAGAAATAGAAACCCAGAAAACATTAGGAACTGGGTTATACTGTCCATCTACCTGTCAGGGACAATGCAGCCTCTGTGGTGCCACTTCCTCCTAAGCACCTGCAAGCTAAGCAGCTCCCTCTGTTCCGGTTTGCAGATGGCCTTTTTCTGACTCTTTCACGGCTGCCTTTCCTCTTAATACAATCACTAGCAACGTTTTTCTTTCTGAGAAAAAAAAGTTCATTCCTGTGGAAAATTACTGTCCCATATTATCTTTTCAAGTCAGGAACACAAGTAATGAGTCACTGAAATGACAAGCGTGGGACTCAGGGTTCACTCCTAGTTGACCACTGCCCAAAGGGCTACCAGATGACATGGCCACTCGGGGAAGGGTGGGCCATGTCACGCAGGGTTCCCGACCCTTATCCATCCGTGGCCTGTTAGGAACTGGGCCGCCCAGCAGGTGAGCTTCCTCTTGAGGCACCATTACCCTTGAGCTCCCACACCTGTCAGATCAGTGGTGGCAATTAGATTCTCATAAGAACACGAACACTATTGTGAACTGCGCATGCCTGATGATCTGAAGCAGAGCAGTTTCCTTCCAGAACCATCCCCACCCCACCTTCTGGCTGTGGAAAAATTGTCTTCCACAAAACCCATCCTTAGGACCAAAAAGATTGGGGACCCCTGGTGTAGGGGTATTCTCAGTAGGACTGAGCAAGCTGGCAACCCTAATTATGTCTATTAAGACACCTCAAGAATGGCTCTGCACCAGAAGTAAGAAAGGTTATGCCTTATGGATGCATTTCCCAGGGCCAGCTTTCCCCAGGGGGTAAAGGGCATGTCTTGTGAAAAGGACCTGGCTGCTAAACAGACACCCTGTCCCCATCAACTTTCTCTTTAGAGCTATTTCCAGCTCCAGTGCTGAGTGCGTCTGTGACATCCCCGCTCCTAGAGGGGAATCTAGTCACCCTGAGCTGTGAAACAAAGTTGATCCTGCAGAGGCCTGGTTTGCAGCTTTCCTTCGCCTTCTACATGAGCAGCAAGACCCTGCAAGGCAGGAACACATCCTCTGAATACCAAATATCAGCTGCTAGAAGAGAAGACTCAGGGTTTTACTGGTGCGAGGCCGCCACAGAAGACGGAAATCTCCTTAAGCGCAGCCCTGAGTTGGAGCTGCAAGTGCTTGGTGAGTGAAAATGACGGGAAGCCACTGGCACGGGAAAAGGGGCTCCCTTCTCTCCCGTGGGACTGGGGTTTGTCCAAGGGGCTCCCTTCTCTCCCGTGGGACTGGGGTTTGTCCAAGGGGCTCCCTTCTCTCCCGTGGGACTGGGGTTTGTCCAAGGGGCTCCCTTCTCTCCCGTGGGACTGGGGTTTGTCCAAGGGGCTCCCTTCTCTCCCGTGGGACTGGGGTTTGTCCAAGGGGCTCCCTTCTCTCCCATGGGACTGAACTTTGTTCGAGGGTTTCATGGAGGGGAAAGTCTATTCAGGAAAAGCCCCAGCAGGCCTTTCCATCCTTAACCAGAACATCACTCTTCTCACAAACTTTATCAAATTTCCTTTCCTGTCATTTTCTTTTTCCTTTGCCTTTCCTTCCTCCATTTCTTTCCTTCATTTTCTCCTCTATCCTTCTTTTCTTCTCCTTCCTTATTTTCTTTTCCCCTCCCTACCACTCTTTCCCCCACCCACTGACCCCTCCCTTCCCCGCCTCCCTCCCTCTCACCAACAATCTCACCAACAATTTATCCAGTTCCTCCTATCTGTTGTCACAGGTCTGGGGATATAAAGACCTTCCAGTAGAGTCCTTGCTTCAGGGAGCTCACAAGGTGGATTCTAAGACAGGGATTTTGTAAGCTGCAAATCAGCACCTCCCCGCGTATCTCTATCTAACTGAGGCAGAGGGATTGTCAGCTCCACAATAAAGGCTCTCTGTGGGGAAAAAAAGTCACTCCTCAGCCCAAATTCATTTCAAGTATTAAATGGCACAGAGATAGCAGTTGTCTCTGAAACTACGGAGTAAGTCCACTGACGGCGCTTGGCAATTAAGCTCTTCCAAGGAGCCTGTCCCCGTCCATACACCATATAGCCGGTTAGAGCTACCACCAGTTCCTTCCCACTCCCTGGAATGACCAGTGCCTCCCTGGACACAGGTACATCAGGTCTCAGCCAACCTTCCCCTCCAAACATAACTCAGTCTCTAAATAGTATCTCTTCTCTTTGTCTTTTTCTGTTTCAGTCCCCCAGTCACCAACTCCTGTCTGGTTTCATGTCCTTTTCTATATGGTAGTGGGAATTATGTTTTTAGTGGACACTGTTCTCTACGTGACAATATGTAAAGAACTGAAAAGACAGAAAAAGTGGAATTTAGAAATCCCTTTGGATTCCGGTCATGAGAAGAAGGTAACTTCTGACCTGCAAAAACACAGACATTTAGAAAAAGCCCTGAAGCGTCAGGAACAAGAAAAACAGCCGCGGGACAGGGTGTACCGGAAGGCGCTCCGGGAGGCCAAGTAGCAGCAGCTCGTGGGTGGCCATCGGTCTGGACGGTCCCCTGCCCACTTCCTCCCCATGAGCACTGCTCACAATCGTCCAAAAGTTCACCACCACCAGAACTGTAGGTCTCACGGAATATAATAATTAATTAAAGGAAATAAACGAACTGACTTCAACCGGGTTACATCTGGAAATTTGGTCATCAGAGATGACTTGAAATGAGGTGAAACCAAGTCAAGTCTAGCCTGACTGATTATCTTATTGCGTAGTTTGAACAATGGTAGTTTGTTTCTCAGAACAAGGTAAAAAGGTGAGTGTGTGCACAGGAGATTAGGGCAGAGAAAGAGACAGAATGAGAGAGGGAGACAGAGAGACACACAGCCAGGAGTGGGTAGATTTCAGGGAGACAAGAGGGAATAGTATAGATGATAAGGAAGGAAATAGAGCTTACAGATGACTCCTAAGGGACTGTGACGCCGACAGAGCTCTCGCCTCTGCGTTCGGGATAGCTAGTTCATGCTTTTCTCTGACTCTACTAAAAGACAATGCCTCCATACGTGTTCTGGGCATACAAGGGGGTAACCCATGATGAGAACTGGGTGTGTTATTCTTGCCCCCTCCTTTGGGTCTTTCTCATAACCCTTCTATTTCTAGAGACGCTAGAAATGCTGCCAGTCCCAGGCCCCTGCCCTGTAGGAAGGCAGAAAAAAATCCTTTCTAACAGTTAGTCCAAATCTCCAAGCGTAGCACTGCAAGGAGAAACTTCGAATGGGGAGAAGCGGCGATATCATCGAGTCCAGATCTTGCCTCGAGACTTGCTTTACCTTCCTGATTTTCCGGCTGATTACGAACTGGCTTCAGGATATGCTGCTCTCACACTTTGGCTGTAGTTTGGAGACAAAATATTTTCCTTCCACTCTATAACACAGCTGGGACAAAAACTGAAACATGTAAATGACTCTACTAAAAGGTTAGGGGAAAAACAGGAGAAGAATGACACACATAGCAACTTGATTCCAGATTGTTTGGTTTGATCGGTAAACGACGGGTGGGGCATCGCCTGAGCGTGTCCCACGGCGGGCCGCTGGCGCCACCCTGTGGCCGCCTGTGCACATTGCAGCCTCCGCCCGCCTCGGGGAGCCGCCGCAGCCCGCGCCCGGAACCCAGCTACCCGGAAAGCTGTCGGGCGCGCGCTTCTCCGCAGCTCCGCCCCCGCCAAAACCCAGCGAGAAATTATTTGCAATCCTGGAGCCTGCAAGAGCGAAGGTCGGCGGCAGGCGGATGGAAGAGAGCGAGGGGTGGGCCGTTCGTGTCCCATTCGCCCGAGTAGGAGGAGGAGCACCCGACTCGGGCGGCCGCCCAAAATCTCCACGTCATTGTTTCCTCGGGGCCGGCAGGTGTGAGAACCCGGCGGCAGGATGGAAGTTCCGTAGTCTGCGGCCTCCCCCGGCTGGTCGCCGAGTCCCTCCGACCCCTCCATCGGGCCGGCCCGGCGCGGCGCCTCCTGGCGCCTGCCTGTGGAGGTTGCAGCCGCCGCCGAGTTCCGGGGCTGCTGCGGGGCGCCGAGCTCAGGCCTGTCTGTGGTGCGCCGGGCCGAGCCTCCCGGGAGACGGGGACTAGGAGATGACAGGAAACAGGAGGACGACACTGGACTCCCAGCGGGCGCCCCAGCTTCTCGGCCCGCCGCTAGAGCACCCGGAAGCGGCGGCGGCAGGGAGCGGGGTGGGGGAGTGCGTGAAGTCCCCCGCCTCCCCGGCCAACTCGGAGGACCTCCCTGCCGCGCCCTCACTGTCAGAAGCAGGAGGGGAGCTGGCTTGGCGGGGTCAGCAAGCCCGCGGCTTGGAAGGCCCCGGGCTCCTCAGGGGCCACCCCGCGGGGACTCGGGAACAGCCGAGCTTCACCCACAAGCTCCACGGCCTATTCTATCACGGATGAAAGATTCCAGGACTGACAAGGAGGCCCTGGAGGGATCTGATGCAGCTGAAGGGGAGGAGGGTGGGTCGGACCTTTGGGGCGAGGTTGAGAGAATGTCTTTCTTCGCCCTGGGACCTACCCAGGCTTCACCTGTGCGGCGGCTTCACATGTGAGGGTCCTGGGCCCATCCTTCAATCCTAGGACTTCCCAGAGTGGACAGGTGGAGCAGAACAGGCATTAGCTTGTGGGGATGGGTCAGTTAGGAGTCGTTCCTCATCGTCCGGGCTCGGTATGGAGACCTCTAAATTCATTCTAGGACAAGAGCTTCTGTAAGAGCTCAGTCCCGTTTCAGAACACTCAGAGGTTCCTAGCCTGAGAATTAATCCCCAAAGTGGACCAACCGGTTTGGGTAAAACAGGAATAGTTGGGTCCATTCTGGGTCTTTCCTGGCTAAATGCCTTCAGGTTTTAGGAATTTTCTCGTAGGAAGGCCAAGGATTAGGCAGACCTGCCCAGCGATTCCAGCCCTGAGAACCAGACAGAATTGGAGGCATAGCTGACAGCTGGCTGGGAGGGGACTGACAGTCCTCACTGCCACCAAGCTTAGTTGGGACAGAGCCTCTGGGCTGTGGCGAGCTCCTTGTAGGAGCAAGGAGACCAGTTAGGAATGTAGGTGAGAGGCAGTGGCAGCCCGGACTAACACGGTGGCAGCGGAGCTATTGGGAGTGGTCACATTTGGAAGATGTTTTGCAGAAGTGTCAACAAAGCTACTTCTTGATTAGATGTAGGGAATATGAGAAATCCTAGCACTTTGGGAGGTGGATGCAGGCGGATGCTTAAGGCGGTGTTGGAGACCAGCCTGGGCAACATGGCAAAACCCTATCTCTAAAAAAAAATACAAATATTAGCCAGTGGCACGCGCCTGTAGTCCCACCTACTCTGGAGGCTGAGGTAGGAGGATTGCTTGAGCCAGGAGGCATAGTGAGCCAAGATCGCACCACTGCACTTGAGCCCGTGCAGCAGAGGGAAACCCTGTCTCAAAAAAAATAAAAAGTAAAAGGTGGTTATTACCAGTCTCATAGCTATACTAGTATAAAACAGAAAGACCTTAATATACACCTGTGTGAAGCTTGGCAGTGGAAAGTGGGATGTCACACACACGAAGAGCTAGTGATGTGAAAATCTGGCCTTGCATAAGGGCTTTCAGGTATAGATTTTGTCACTGCACACTGGCGGGAACATGGGAACAATACAATGGTTTGTGTCCTGCCCCTTCATTCTCCACTTCCTGTTTTGTTTCTAAATGTGGAGTCAAAACTTCCAAAAAGTAGGCAGCTCATTTTTCTGCCTTCCCGTTTTCTCCCTATCACACTAAGCACATGCCACTCCTTACAACTTAGAAAAGATTAAAAAAAAAGAATAAATTGGGGAGAAGGAGCATATGTTAAAGTAAAAATTTCCCAGACATAATATGGGAGTTAATGGAGAAAGAAAATCTCTAAGGAAGACTAGAAATAATTTGTTTAGGGATTCTGGAGAAGTGCGTGAAATTCCCCAAATGTGGTATTCTCTGAGAAGATCATTTAGTTTTGAGGAAGCAATGGCATGGTATCCAGGGAAAAAGCAGTCCTCTGGAGCCTGGCTGTGTGACTTCAAGGCCCGCTTCTTATGGAAGGGCAGAAAAAGACCTTGAAGGGGAGAAATGGGCATTGACATAGGTTTATAAAGTACCATCTTTATTTTAGAAAATAATCATTTTCAGGCCAGGCACAGTGGCTCACGCCTGTAATCCCAGCACTTTGGGAGGCCAAGGTGGGTGGATCACAAGGTCAAGAGATCAAGAGCATCCTGGCCAACATGGTGAAACCCTGTCTCTACTAAAAATACAAAAATTAGCTGGGCATGGTGGTGCGCACCTGTAGTCCCAGATACTCGGGAGGCTGAGGCAGAAGAATCGCTTGAACCTGGGAGGCAGAGGTTGCAATGAGCCAAGATTGCACTACTGCACTCTAGCCTCGTGTCAGAATGAGATTCTGTCTCAAAAAAAAAAAAAATCATTTTCTACCTTGAATCCTAGTTTATTGTGACTACAGCTTGTAAAATTTCAGGATATGGCTGAATTAAAATCTTGGTCCTGCACTCAAGTCGCTCTTTGAATTGCAGTTTCTTATCCCAATTTCTTATCCTTTCATTCCACAGTGAAATCTATATCGTGGCACATAATAATAGACTTTATTATTTTAATTTACCAAATACCTATTTACCTTTCATGGATTATTTCATTTAGCCTTCATAGTATCTGTTGCTGTCATTGCCTCACAGTCAATAGGGTGACTTTTAATGCCATTCTATTATTTTGATCAATTTGTATAATATATTCTTTCCTCAGTGTTTGATAAAGCTCTGTGGGCTTTTTTTGAGATGGAGTCTCTCTGTGTCACCCAGGCTGGAGTGCAGTGGCGCGATCTCAGCTCACTGCATCCTCCACCTCCCAGGTTCAAGTGATTCTCCTGCCTCAGTCTCCCGAGTGGTTGGGATTACAGGCACACACCACCACGCCCAGTTAATTTTTGTATTTTTAGTAGAGACAGGGTTTTGCCATGTTGGCTAAGCTGGTCTTGAACTCCTGACCTCAAGGGATCCACCCACCTGTCTCCCAAAGTGCTGGGATACAGGCGTGAGCTACTGCACCTAGCCTTGGTGCTACTTTTAAGGATATTTATATCTGATTTTTTTTGTTTTTCTTATAGTTATTCTTTATTCAGGTATTCTTTTCTGGGATCAATTTTAGTAATTTGTATGGAAAAGTCAGCATTTTGTCTATGTTTGCAAATACATATCACAAATACACATCATTTTAATATACTCTAATATAACTTATGTGCTTTTTCAATATTAAGCTTACAGAAGGATTAACTCTAATTTTCTTTTCAGAGAACGACCTTTGGTTTTATAAATCCCATTTTGGTGGAATAGGAAGATATGATCTGTTTCATTGACTATGCTTTCATCTTAATTTATTCCTTCTAATTTCCACAAGTTTTTGTTATGTTCCTTTATTGGCTTTTGAGTTAAAAACTTACTTCTCTGTCTGTCGCCCAGGCTGGAGGGCCGTGGCACAATCTCAACTCACTAACCTCCGCCTTCCAGGCTCAATGATCCTCCTGCCTCAGCCTCCCTGGTGGCTGGAACTAGAGGGATGCACCACCACATCCAGCTAATTTTTGTATCCGTTGCAGACACAGGGTCCTGCCATGTTGTCCAGGCTGGTCTCCAGCTCCTGAGGCAGTAATTGGGAGGCCAAGGCAAGCTGCCCACCAATTATTTTCCCTTAAATACATTTTAAGGCTATGAATTTTCTCCTGACTGCTTCACATAAGTTTTAAAATATTATTTGCCATCAGATAATTGGAAGAAGAAATGGCGATTCAAGAAGGTATTTAAATATAGGGCTAAGGTTTGAATTCTAGCTTATTGAGACCAAAGCTTGTGAAATCCAGGGTTGAATTATAGTGTTATTATTTCTAAAGAGTGTATGATTTTTATTCTGACATCCCCTTTCACCCATGTGCTTTTTCCTAAGAGTACAAATTAAGGAGAGCATGTTTATCTTGTTGTTTTATAATCAGTTAACTATGCCCTAGTCCCTATATCGTTTCATCTTTTCAACACTTGTTGAGACTTAATTTGCCATGTCACTTATGGTCAATTTTTTGTCAATATTCCATGTGAATTTAAAATTACGTAACTTTTTTATTTTGAATATAAGTATAGGCATAATTACAGTTATGATTAATCTTATTAACTGTGTTCTTCAAATCATCCATAACCTCTATAAGTTTCAGTCGACTGGATCGGTCAATTCCTAAGAAAGGCATATTAAACTCATCACTGTGGTTGTTGACTTATAACATTGCTCAGTAATACTGCTCAAGCAATCCTTCTTCAGCCTCCTAAGTGGCTGGGACTACAGGTGCGTGCAAGTATTTTTACTTTTTGTAGAGACAGCGGTCTTGCTTTGTTGCCAGGCTGATCTTGAACTCCTAGCTTCAAGTGATCCTCCTGCCTCAGCCTCCCGAAGTGCCAGGATTACAGGTGTAACCCATCATGTAAGCCCACATTTTCTAACTTCTATAATAACATCTACACCCTATTTATAAAATCAATCTTAATTTGATTTACTTCTCTTCACTCTTGCCCTCCCTACCTCCCTTCTATATCACCTGGAATTTGAATTCCAGGTTTTCTTTTTAATTTTTTAGAATCTAAATTCACTTCATTTAGCAGTATCTTTTACCAAATACATGACCACCTTTGCTTCTGTTGTCTCACATCTTCCCTTATGATCTTTTTTTAATTCTTGCTGGAATACAATTCTAATAATTATTTCAGAGAGTCTGAAAAGTCACCCACACTAAAATGATAGTTTAACTGAATTCAAAGTTCTTTTCCCTAGATGTTAAAAAATGTTTCGTGTCTTTTTTTGTTTTCTGAGACGGAGTTTCGCTCGTTACCCAGGCTGGAGTGCAATGGCGCAATCTCGGCTCACCACAACCTCTGCCTCCTGGGTTCAGGCAATTCTCCTCCCTCAGCCTCCTGAGTAGCTCAGATAACAGGCATGCGCCACCATGCCCAGCTAATTTTTGTATTTGTAGTAGAGACGGGGTTTCACCATGTTGACCAGGATGGTCTCCATCTCTTGACCTCATGATCCACCCGCCTTGGCCTCCCAAAGTGCTGGGATTATAGGCGTGATCGTGTCTTCTTATATCCAGTGGAGATCAAATGAGAAATTGTATGTAAATTTGACTTCCATTTCTTCATAAGCATTTTCTCTGAATGTGTTTAGAAATGTCTTTGTTCCCACATTTTGTCACAGTGAATCTAGTGAGCTTCTTCTCATCCAGTATGCTCAGGATTTAATAGGACCTTGCTAAGGATGTAGGTCTGCATTTGGATTCTGTGAAATATCCTCCATTTATTCCTTTATTTCCTCATGGCTGTGATTGTATACTACACATTAGCGAAGACTACTGTTCAAATGATGTCCTCTGAACTGTGCCGTGCACAACAGCAACTCTGATTCTTACATGTTCTCAACTCCCCCTCTTCTCTGACTCCTCATTCTATAGATGAGTTTGGAACATCTGGATCTATTTTTCATATCATTTAGCTTTTCTTCCATCTCTGCATGCATCTTTTTATATGGCTTTGTGGAGGAATTTCTGGCTTATCTTGATCATGGTGAGTAGGGAGAAACTCAAACTGTGTTTCCTGTGCTTTCACATCACGACAATCAGCACTGTAGACTGTCACCAAAGGTGTCAGGGATGGAGGGGAGGTGGAGGGGAGTGTCTCCACCCAGCAGGCAAGCAATCAGTTCTGCAGTGGACACCAGCTGGGTGTACTCCAATTCAATTCTTACACTGTTTATC